GCTTATGTTTTTAATGTTAAAAGAATATGAACTTTTATTAATAAAGATGAAAATTTAAGTGAAAAGGATTTATGCCTAAAAAGTTGATGCAAGGAAAAAACTTAATCAGCAACTATTAAATAAATTGTAATGATTGTCAAAACGTAATTCTCTCTGCAGTGTAAAAAGAGGATCAAACAACTTGACAAGTGAGTTCTATTTAACTCTCAAGGGATAGTAAAATCCTTGTTTATAAAATGACTTCTAGAACAAAGAATAAAAGCCAGCCTATTAAGTTAGATTCTGAGAACCAAAACCAAGGGAAAAAATATTGGCCAACTTATGACACTGAAAAACACTAAGAATTCAAATCTAACAGTGTATTAAAAAATAGTACATTATGTCTAAGTTTAAATATGAAAGTGAAAGGATGTTCTCAGGGTTTAAAAACAAAACTATTACTGTAATTTACAACATTAATGACAAAGAACAAGAAATTGATCAATGATAAAGAAAAAGCATTTAATAATTGTTTTTCTTTTTAAATGGAACCAAACCTTAGCAAACTTGAAATGGGGACTTTTTTTTTAGGTTGATAAAGGCTTTCTACTAAAAACCTGTGTCAGATATTGTTCTTAATGGAAAAAAAAAAACCAAGGCTTTAAATTCATTCCTTTTAAGGTAGGAAACAAGACAGGGATGCCTGTGTTACTTCTACTCAACCTTACGAGATCCCTGACCAGTGCAATAAGACAAAACAACAAAAGTAGAAGAATTGAAAAGAGAGCTAGAATCGCTGTTATTTCTAAGTAAAATCATGTCCAGTTGACCTTTGAACATCAGCATAGTTTGCACCGTGCAGGTCCACTTTTAGATACATTTTTTTTTTCAATAAATATACAGTTGGCCCTCTGTACTCCTGTGTTTGGAGATAAGCAGATGTGGAGGGCCAACTTAAGTTGTATGTTATTTTTGATTGTATGAAGATCAGCACCCCTAACCTTTGCATTGTTCAAGGGTCAACTATATATAGAAAACCAAAGAGAATTAGCAGAAACTATTAGCAGCAATACAAGAGATTAGCTGGTTACCAGGTAAGAGCAACACATAAAAATCAATAGCTTTCCATTGTATTAAAAGTACCAATTATAAACTATGATGACAATAAGATACCATTTATAATAATGACTAAACTAAAAGCTATCAAAGAATTTATTAAACATAAGGGAAATGTAAAACTATTATAAGAGTTTTATTAAGATATATAGAATATCAATGCAGAGAATTCATAAATGGGTTGGTTGAATATTGTGAAGATGTCATAATTCCTCTATTAAAATTTAAATTCACTGTAATTTCAATTAGCATCTGAACAAGAATTTTTTTTGGAGGGGCAGAGTTGAATCTAAAATTTACATAGGAGAGTAAATAAAGAAGGATCTTCTCTTTACAAGGTATTAACATTGTATATCGGGAGTTAGCAAACTACATAGGCTACAATCTAAATCCAGACTGTGACATGTACTTATAAATAAATCTTTATTGGGATACAGCCACGTCCATTCATTTATAGGTGTCTATGGCTGCTTTCATGTTGCTGTGACATTTGAGTAGCTACAACAGACTATGTGGCCTGCTGAGTCTAGGCCTTTAGAGAAAAAAATGGTGCTTCCTATTCTCCAGCATCTGAAATAGAATCAATATAGTAAAGTCCAGACTCATTCCTATGTATATATGGGAACTTGGTGTGATCATTCCCAGCAATTGGTGCTAGGACAATTGGTTCACAAAAGGAGGAAAAAGAAATCATTCCTGTACTTCATAGAATAAACAAAGCTCCGAGTGGATGAAATACCTGTTAAGAGTGAAAATAGATGAAAATTTAAGAATATATTTTTGTAACCTTATGGTAGAGAAGGGTTTGTTAAATAAGATTCACAGAGCACGAACTGTAACAGGATAACTGATGAATTCATCAAAATGAATGCTTTTTGTTCAATGGAAGGTATGATAGAAAAACTAACCGATAGTAAAAATATAATTGTTATGTTTAATAGATTAGGATCAGTATTTAGAATACATAAGGGACTCTGGAAAATCAGAAACTAGAAGTGAAATTACAAAAGAAGGAAAAAGTATGCACTGGCAATTCATTGAAGGGTATCGATATATGCACACACATATCACATTGGTGATGAGCAAATTAAAATTAAGAGGTTCCATTTTGCCTATCATATCAGTAAAAGCTAGGAAATCAGATGCTCTCAAGTGTTGGCAAGGATGTAGAGAAATAGAAATTGTGTATTTTGGGAATGCAAACCGGTGCATATGCTTTACAAAATTTATGTGTATAACCTAAAACTCAGCAGTGGGATTCTAGCATAGATATATGGAAAAATATATGCATGGATGGTCATCACAGTATTATTTGTGGTAAAGGGCTGGAGACAAGTTAGCTCTTCACTATAAGAATGGACAAGGAAAATTACAGTGGAATACAGTGAGAGGGAATAAGCAATAAGAAAGAGTAAATTATAATCTATAGCAAAATGAATGAGTCTCTAAAACAACGTCGAGAGATAAAAGGTAGAATGAGATTTAAAGAAAGTTACGGTTAAAAACCATATACAAGATCCCGATATATTTTTGACACATATTTATAAAAATTCAGTGAAGATTATAAATACAACATTAATCATGAAAAGTGAAGCCCTGTGTTGGGAGGGGAAGGAATAGGGTGTGGATATAAGAGATGAAGGGCAAATGATGATAATAAGAAAACCAAAAGAAGAGCCTTTCATGAATTCATAATAGTGGCTAATCAACCAGAGCCCATATTTAAGTCAGTTCTGTACAATTATCCTTAAGAGGAAGCAAGGTCCAGGAACAATACTCCTTCCAACATTATTAGAGCCTGATGTTCAAACAACGTCAACAGGTATCGGTCTCTCTATCTTGGCTCTGCTGCCCTCAGTGTTGGCTCTGATACCAGGTAGACTTTTTAATGTAACCTCTAGCTGTTTCAGGTTTGTGTGCTACCAGTTTGGCAACTTGGCAGTTTTCCTCTCATGAATATTTTTTCTTTGACTAGCTTATATTTTGTCCTTTGTCCACTCCTGGACCAATCATATGCCAGAGGACTAAGAATGTCCGTGTCGCTTTCCCATCCCTAGAACCAGGCAGTAGGAGTAGCTCCACATATAGAATATGAGGGAGTATTATCCAAAGAAAAATCAGGGTGATGTGGCCAGACTACAGAAAGTGGATGCTGCAGGGGACTTGAATCAATGCTTGATTTGGGGAACGATTTTTAGAATGAATAAAATGAACTGCCATGTTTATTTCAGAAAAACTGGAAAATGATTAAAGGTTAACTCCAATATCTGAAGCTCTGCCACTTGTATGATACTTGTTTCATTTAGCCCGATGGCATAAATCCGTGACAAATAGATGGACTTGATATGAAGGGCAACTATGTAATTGTTGGAGTTTATTGTTTTAGAAGGAATGGATAGTGAACTTCCTATCTCTGGGTATATTCAAGCATAGGGCTAGCCAGCTAGTTGGCAAGGATTCAATAGGAAAGGACCCAAGGACTGTGAGAATAGTCGCATCTGGTCAGCGGTTCTAAAACATCTGCATAGCTCATGAAAGCACAGATTGCTGGGCCCTTCTCCCAGAGTTTGTTTGGTAGGTCTGAAGTAGGACTTGATAATTTGCATTTCTAATAAGTTCCCAGTTGATGCTGATGCTGTGGGTCCAGGGAAACACCTTGAAAACCACTAGGTTAGATGATTTTCAGCATTCTTACTCAATACCCTTTTTTTTTTTTATGACATACTTATAAATGATCTAGAAACTAGTACTTATATGAGATACAAGGCAAACTTTCCATTTTGTTTCTTTGTACCTGAGATGTGTTAAGTTCTGGCTCTGCAGGTCCTTCTGTAGTGAATGCCACTTGCATACTATAGATTTTGGGTCACTGAGAACATTATAGTGGATGACACTTGCATACTGTATCTTTTGGGTCATTGAAAACATTAGAATCATTAAACACATTTATTGATATGTTTTATAAAACAATCAACTATTTTCTGACATCTTTTTTTGTAATCCCGTTTCCTGTTTTCTCATGGGTTGATTATTTCCATCAATGTTGTAATAGTGTCATTGCTGAATTAGAAAAATGAAGTGGTTTCCCAAGGAGGCTGTGTCTTAGTCATTCAGGAAGTAACTTTGTCATTTATAGCCATCTAACTGACAGAAAATCATTTCTTGATACCTTAGATGCCAAGTGCCAAATCTTTCTTCACCTCCCCCCACCCACCCCGCTACAGCTTTGCCCGCAAAAAGAGGATATGAAACACCTACCTTGCTGCATCCTGACTCTGTGTCAACTAGGAATTGTTTTCATCTTGAACTAGATTTTGCTTCTTTTTTTTTTTCCTCATTTCTTCTCTCTTTAATTTTAGAAATTTTACTATAATATTTCTCTGGGAGTGCTCATATATTTCTGTAGTTGTAGGCAAGTTCAAACAGTGTTTGTACTTTTTCTAAATTGCTTTTATATAAACAAAGATAAAATCATTTGAGAAAAGCATTAAGAATTAGATGGTTTAGAGTTAATGCTTAATAATGAAAATTTTCAGCCTTGCAAAAATGATGAAATGGATGGGGAAAAAAATAAAGTACCTGACAGACAGTACCTAGTAGATTTTGGTTAAGGTGGCAACCTGAAGTGCAGAGGGATTTAAGACTGTTTTTGTTGTCCATGGGATGCTTCTGTTTGAAAACACTAACTCCAGTCAAGGCAACCTTGGTAGAGAGAGTGGAGTATTTTAGGAGGAGTTACCCAGAATACACCTTAGTGGACCTTAAATGGGGAACAGCTTAAATGATATCTTCTTCTCATCTAAGAATCTGTAGTAATGTTATTTACTTTCCTTAAAGTGATATATGATCTGAGTTTCTCACTGAATTTTATACATGCCCATTTCTTAAATCATCTTCTTTTTCAGACTTCAACTGTGAAGAAATGTCTTTCAGATTCGGCCAACATCTCATCAAGCCCTCTGTGGTATTTCTCAAAACAGAACTGTCCTTTGCCTTCGTGAACAGGAAACCTGTGGTACCAGGACGTATCCTTTTCTTTTTCTTAAAATGGAAAAATAAAAAGCCTCTGAACCTAATAGACCAGAAGGATACAAGATTGGCCTCCAATGTCTGTCCAAAAAGGTAAAATCGGAATCCACCTCCCTCCCTCTTTGGAGAAACCAGGTAAGATGTTACATTTATTCTGAATCTGTTTGGCGGCACCAGTAATATGCTTGATCAGTGTTGCAGAACTTCTGAAAAGAGTTGCTTAGCAACTGTGGCTTCAGAGGTGAGTTTTTGTTTGACCTTCTCATTATGGTAGCTGTGTAAATAAACAGGTGCTTCTAAAATGGTCCCCATAAATATCATGGGCACTTTGTTTTCAGTTGTGAATTTTAATAGTAAGATAGAGATTGGGTGGCACTTTTATGACATGGAAATAAAGTATTACACGAAGATTTGAGATTCTGGTTTCTTTACCTCTTGCAGATCATTTAAGTTAGGAGTTTTAATTAAATATACTAAAAGTATTTTTTTCATCTTAAGATTTGGTTTAGCATTTTCTCTTGAAAAATATGCCAGCTTCTAGATCATTGTCCAGTGTCAGTGGTGGTAGAGTTGCTTTATTTCCCTCTGACTGTTGAGTCGTAGTCTCTCCTAT